CATAACTGGTAAGTGTTTTTTCTTTTGCCTTGTGAACTGGCCGAGCCTTAATGATTCTGTTTCTTTACATGTATTTGTTTACTGACCGTTGCATGCAATCGTGAAATACAGCATTTTTTTATTAATTGGCTATTCGTTGTGGGAAAAAAAAAAAAAAAAAATTTCGGGTTCGGGCTCTAAATTTAACTGTGCCGCTCGGCTCGTGTCAGACGATCTCGGGTACGGGTCGGGTTCGGGCTTCAGTTTAAAGCCCATGCAGACCTCTAAAGAGCACACACAAAAATAAAAATCTTATAAAGTTCTAAACAAAAAAACATATATAAAGTTCTAAATATATGTTCCAAGTTCTAAGAAATGTAATTTTTACATTAATGTTGATTTCAAAAAACATTTATATAGTTTTCAAGAAATGCTCAATTTTAATGACTATAAAAATGTCATGTAGTGTATCAAAGGAAAATAATATATATTTTCTTGCATCTTTTTTAATATATTTTATCATATTTAATGATCTTTATTATCTTTTTTTAAATTTTTTTTACAAAGTACAAATATCATGAAATTTCTATTCTATAAAAAAACTTTTTTGTCAGACCTGCCAATGACTGGTCACTTCAGAAAATTCACCAGCCATAAAATTTTTTTACCAGCCATGAAACTGGATGTGCAAAAAAACAACAACTGGGATAGCATCTAATAGTAATTATTATTATAAATTTTTATTTCATTAATATTGATTATTACTGAAAGGTATTTTTGTTGTTGTTGTATTTTAAATTATTGCCACATCAACTTCACCAGCTATTTTTAATAAAGTAAAACACTGAATCAAAGAAATATCACTACAATACCTCTGTACTTATATTTTAATAATAATACTAATATTTAATATTAATTTAATATTATTATTATCATTATTATTATTATTTAATATAACAGAATAACTACAGTACTAATATTTATGGTTGTTTTTTACTTTGCTCTCAAAGGTTAAACCATAGAGCTTTTATTATTTTGGTGGAAAACCGCAGAGAAACTTCTCTTTTGAAAACCCAGACAAAAAAAACACAATACACAAGCAAAACAAACCAAGCTGCATGTCACTGACCAACCAATAGCCCAAATAACCAGTCTTTCTATATGTAAATCTGTTCCAGTGTACCTGCTCATCAGATGCTAGTGCTGTAAAGAGAGGAATGATGTCACTCTTAGCATAGTCCAGCTCCAGAACCTTTGCAAACTCGCCCAGCTTAGAGGCGGCAGCTCGACGCACCATGGGAGTGTCATCCGAGCAAAGTGTGCGGAAGTGCCTGTGAAGACAACCATAACATTAAATACTGAACATGACCGCAGTGATCAAGGTGAATTCAAAAGTGCACGGCATAAAAACAAGGCATCATTTGAACTTACTGACGGATTTCCGCTTTAACCGTACTGGACACACGTGGGTAGCAGACGCTGAACAGTCCGCACGCAGACGTTCGGGAGGTGAACCAGTCCCCGCTGGCCAAACGCTTTACAAGTGGTACAAAATGCACCTCTAGGTCTACGGGGGAATGTTCCTGAGAGATCTTTCGCAGAGACTCCACGGCCTTGTCCCGCACAACCGTTTCCTCCACTGTGGCCAAACTCTCCAGTGGAGGCTGAGGAGAAGTGCAAGATGAAAACATGTAGAGAGGTGTCTCAACTTATGGCTAATATCTAGGGATGTAACGATTCACTCAACTCACGATTCGATTTGATTCACGATTTTGATTTCACGATTCGATTCATGATTTTTTTTAACAAAATGAGTTTTAAGACAAATTATAAATTAAATGTGTCCTTTTATTATTGCTTGAAAAAAATACTGTACGTTTCTTTGTGAAA